GATGTCCAATATTCACTTTTCTTTTATCTCTGTTTTGGTCTCCATCATCTCCTAAGGTAAATAACTGTCTCTTTAGCTGCTAAATTCTCTGTTATGCTCACCAGCTTTTCTATTAACTTGCCTGTTTGCCGTTTGGTGCTGGCTGTTTGGAGCGGCTGAGTCGAGCAGAAATTCCATGTGAGTTTGTTACTAAGAGCCACCCCTTTCACATTACATATAGTTAGTTGATCCATTGTTTATATGAAATATTCATTTGTGCATCTTTAATATTTATGAGAGACAGATTAATTTTAGTGTACAGATTTTGTTATTGAAGAATACTTAATAATTTTAGATTAGCATTGGAGGTATACAATTAAATGAAATATTATTGAAAATGCAGTATAGCAATATCCAAATCGCAGAAGCTGAAATCTTTTGATAAAGGTGAAATGTTAAACAAAACAGCATCATAATGAAATAGATTCCCTGGCCTACAAATCTTGTTTTTCAGAGAAAACATGTTTGTTTACAAGCCACAAATAATTTTACATTGTGATAAAAAAAGAAAATTAAATTTGTGACCATATAATCTTGAATCTTGTCGCAATATCTGTCAAATAATTGCAATATGAGTTTCGTACAGTAATGTACTGTAATGTAGTTGAGTCGTAAGTACACAGGAAAACTGTAAAGTAGCCCACTGGAACGGCTGATTTACAGATTTAGTAGGTTCACTTTGTATGTTCTTCAGTTGGTCACCTTATAGTTAAAGGGATTATCACTTGATCAGTAATTGATGAAGTAATTATGAGTGCAAGCTATGTGGGCTGTAACACAAAGCAGTGTCTGTTCTCTTCTTTTTCTGTGTGCTTCTGGAGAAAGGTCAAGGTACACTGACTTTAAAATTGCAAAAAATAAAATTACAAAATTAAATAAAGCTAACCTTGAAAGGACTGGCAAGCTCACAAACCCACAGGGTGCTTTCACTACCCAGGACTGCTGCCTCTTGCCCACTGATGCATCTCTGCTCAGTTTTTTATAAAGCAGCTCATTAGTTATTTTGAAATATTTTTATGACTTCTTGCTTTGTTCTTCTGTGCATTTTTTAAATCAAATTTTTTCTATACATCCATCCTAATTTGCAGGATTTCCATTATATTCATCCTCCTCGTGTGTTTGGATAATGCATGTGACACGTTTCCACTTTGTGCTGCCTATCTGTTGGACTTCTTATTGGAATGAAATTAGCTAAGTGGCGGAAAAGTCAGAGCAGTTTATTTTGAACTGAACAGAATCCACAGGCTCGACTGAGTAGTAATGACAAGACCTTGAACCAAGGAGGAAAAACTCAGTTGTGATCTCATCAAGCTATATGGAGATGCACAGAGAATACGTTTTCCAGCTCTGCTTCAGGCTGAAGCCTAATTTGAGATAGTCATAGCGTGACAAAGAGCAAAATCCTAACCCAGAGGATGATTTCCAGAGATGTCTGTTCAAACACTGTAGCCATTTGAAAAGTTCCAGTTTCACTGCAGGTCCAAAAGAGGATGTTAAGCAGCAGATGAAGTCATACTCAGCGTTACGTCTACTAACCATCTAATGATATGAACATCCATGGAGTCTTCCGGCTTCAGAAGAGGCTATTGTATTAGGACTGTTCGATCTGATAAACTCTTAAGTGTATGTGCATGGAAATCCTGCAGAGAGACAGAAGAAGCTGATGTCTTGCACAGGTGTTTGGAAAAATACGACAGCTTTTAAACAACTTCCAGCGCTCTCAGGCATTTTAAAGACACCTACAGCTCCATTTCTGGGTCATATATGAGTGCACTAAAACTGTGCGCTCCATATGGGGAATGTTGTTATCATCTTGACTCTCTCGCTGACATACAAAGGAAGCCACGAGTCTTTAAGTTGTCTCTAAATGTAAATACACAAGGGATCCCTCAACATGTTGTTAATGGCTTTTTCTAGCAAAGAATTTCACAAGCGTGTCCACTTTAAAGGATCTTCTTCCCCAAGGCTGAGCAAAGTTAGGCTGTGGGAGACCACAAACCACGAACCACACCACCACCTAGGTCAAGCATTTTTTTCCAAACTTGAATTTCCCAAGATAAAGCCAGAGTAATTACTTGGTAGGTCAAACATCAGGATGACCTTATGAAAATGTATTTATCTTTGATAACGAGCTTTGTGTTTATCAATGTACTGTACACCATCTGTGGTGTGTTGGGGTTTTGTCAAACACAATAGCCTGACTCCTCAGCATTGATCACTCTTGTCCCTCGCTCTTGCCAGAGTTTCTGCTTTTCTTCTCTGAACTCAATGAGAAGCTTTAAAGGATCCTGACTCATCATCAGTGATCCCTCTCTCTCTCTCACTTTCTCTCGCCCACACTCTTGCCAGAGTTTCTTCTTTTTTCTTCTCAGATTTACATGTCCTCTTCTTGTTTAGAGCTGTTTTGTTTATCTCTATGAAGGAGAAATCCAGTATGTGACTCACCTCTGGACTCCATCTGTAACCCGGCCTCCATCCCTACTTGTGAGGTTCTCAGCCCCCCAACTGCCTCAAACATTTCTCCTTTACACTCCCAAAGAGGAAAAGACTGCCAATAATAATAATGAGGATTAAGGCAGTTTTGTGAACATTATCTTGAGCTGATTAAATCTTTTGCTGATGGTGAATTTAATCTCCAGTAACTTTATTTATGCATTTATTGATGGATCAAGAACTAAGCTTCTGCTTTTTTTTCTCCCTGCGTTTACAGACAGCATCATAAGAGACAAAGACTATGAGGTGATGATGCAGATTGACTGTGAAGTAACGGACACCAGGATCCTCCACATCAGGTCCTCCACCATCCCACCTTTGCTGAGGGTCAACCGCACAGACACGTTTTACCAGCACTCCCCAACTGACAACCAGGCCGCGCCTCCTGTCGGTGTGCTAATGGGGTCCGCTTAAGACCGCCAGCAGCACCTGTATTATTTGGAACTCCTCAGAAACTTCCTCAGAATCCATGAAGACAAACATAAGACCTTCGTTGACACTTTTTTTGTGATGAAGTATATTTTAAATCTGGTGTTCTCTCGCTGACTGCATGATTGTGATTTAGATTTGAATGAAATCCAGTCATTACAATCCAGAGTGAGCGCAAACTGTCAGCGCCAGTCAGCCACATTCTTTATTAGGACTGATATCCGGAGGTAGTCTGTAATGGGGTCTGAGCAGACGCTAGCTCCTTGTGTGGCAAGACTGACTTCTCCCTGTAACCCAGGACGCCCCACATAAGAGTAATTGCTTATGGCAGGGGGCAGAGCATTGAACCCTGAGTCACCCCGTCATAACACAAATACTTTTACCCCGTAGCAGCTCTGTTCAAGTCTTTCTTTTTTGGTTCTTAATTTCGGGACAAGTTCCAAAGCCAGAGGAGAAAACAGAAAATAATAATAATCGCACAGGGAACTTGCATAATTAAAAACAGAAGAATCTATTTGCGATATCAATGTTTAGAAGCACAACAAATTCTTTGTTTGGGTCTCTACAAGATGGAGAACTGTAATTGTCTCTCTCACGCATTTGTAATTTGTTTGCCTCTCTAAATAAATGAAATTGTATTAAGTTTAAGTAAGAGATGACAGATTGATAACATGCAGCAATAGAGGCATTCACTAAACTCAGGAAGTCAGGTGATCTGTGAAAGCTAGCAGGCTAACCACTATGTTTTTGGCTGGTTTCCATTAATTTCAGGTGCTCTGTTTTTAGCATTGTGTTGATGAAGAATTTCAGTTTTTTCATTTTTGGGTCTTTGCACTGTGCTTCTCAGATTCAGATACATATTTATTTGTATTATTGTACAACAGTAATGCTTAATTTTGTCAATATGTATTGGTTTTTATTTTCTATATCTGTCTGATTATGCTTTGTGGGGACTTTTTAATCTAATAATCAAATACAGAAAACTAAATTAGATATTGTATATACAATAATAAATGGTGGATTAGAAGGAAACATACAGTAAATGTTAGCACTGGGAGATTTCTTTACTTTACAGTGCCCTTGGTGGGCATTCTGAGATTATCCCAGAAAAATGTATCTTCATCAAATTTAAAACCCCTAATTTAACTGTTAAAAAGCTAAAGGCTAGGAAGGACAATGTTTGACATTTGACCACTGGTGAAAAAGTTTGAGTCCTGACATCTCCGTCCGACTAAATTGCACTTTTATTTGGTGCACATTAGTCTATATTAAAATACAACCTACTGGAAATTCTTTTTTTTTAAACTGTGTGATGGAGTTGTGATATCTGTTTTTAGTAATTTGTTGTAAACATTTGCACTATAAATGCAGAATCTGGGAAGATCAGTTCTGGCTTTAAATGCCTTATATTAATGTGTCTGTAACTCTGTTTTGACTACCTATAATTGTAAAATTGATATGAAATAAGAAATTATATATAATCAGATTTAGGAACTTTTTGCATATACGGACAGTTTTGGTTGTTAAAACAACAGACTATTCTTCTGTGTGTGAGTGCATTTCTTTTAGCAACATGATTGTACAGATGGTTATGTTTCAGCTTAACAGATGCCCGTAAAAATTTAAAACAAAAATAACCACCCTTTGCTTGTCTTTTCTTAAGCCAACCGTCTGTGTGTATTTCTTTTCCCTTTTGGTATCAAGATTATATTTGACTCACCGCAATGTTTTCACTGCATCCCAACAGTGCTTACTGTAAAGACACAGCAAGAGTACAATTAAAAACGTTTTAGATTTAGTTTTTTGTGCATAAACCAAAATAAACACTGGACTTTCTTTAACTATACCTTTGTGTGATTTATTTGGACTGTTATCGACATCCAGTAACAGTTAATTATAGATTTGAACATTCATTCTCTGTATTTCTGTTTTTTCTTTCTACACTTTTTTGTCATCTATTCTTAGTCTGATGAATTAACACCAATTAACAAGTTGTAATTAAAGCCACTTTAACTTTGATTAGCCAAACAACAAAGACATTTTCTGTAAGTGTTTCTGAACTTTATTGTAGTCTCCTCAGAACAGTCTCATATGGAGTAAGTGCTTTCACAAGACAAAGGTCAACAGCAATACCAGCAATATTACCATGCAGAGGACCTGTGGCATATGATGCAAAGAAAAATTGAATACAAAATAATGTCTATAAAACAGAAATATGTAATTTGTCCACATAATATGTTCAAAGAGTATGCTTCCATGAACTGGTTCTTTTATGTGAGTTGTTAAAAGAGTATTTTGATCCAAGTCATGAACTTATTATTTCCACATTCATTTATCTCATAGGGTTGTTTTTTACAGTATTACAATATATACAGTACAACTTGACGTGTTGACTGAGGAATCAGGCTCATTGTTTCATTTCAGGTAAAAAGGAAAAAAAATAAATCTTGCTAAGCACAAAACAATTTAGTCTCAATATACTGAAGTACATTTGTACATTTGGCCCCCATTTGTCTCCATACCAAAGGCCATGTGGACTGATCTACAATCCATTCAAAGCATAGAATTACCTTTTTTAAAATAACTACTGTCAAACCCCTGCTAAGGGTCTACATAGGCAAACTTAATGTTATATGTGACTTGGTGTCCGTTGTCCCACGCATACAAAACACCCTCTTTGGGATTGTAGTCAATCTGCGTGGTGTAGGTGTAGTTGTTGGTGAAGGGCATTCTGGGAATCATCTGAGTGTTTGTGTGCGTGTCGAAGGCGTATTCCAAGTTGGCGTCCTTTTGGTTGTAGCTGTCAACAGCGTACAAGACGCCGCACACGATGAAGCAGTTTCCGTAGTGGTTTCTCTTGAGCCCGGTTCTCCAGGTGGTCTCCCTCTGCATGCTGAGGTCTGAGGGGTTGAGCTGACTCATAACAATCACTTCTTGTAGGAAGCCCTCATCATCCATTGCCGGGTAGATGATCCACAGGCCACTCTCGTCTACGGCAAAGTTGACGTCAGAGTGGCTGCGCCACTCCCAAGGTGACGATGTCTCCTCCACTAGAGCATCATGCAGCATGGTCCAGGCGGCCACATGACGCTGACGCAGGTCATACTTGATGATGTCTCGGGAGAAGGCACGGTTGTAGTAGAAAGCCCCATCGTAGACCACATGGCCTGTGCCAATCCAGTTGTAAGGAAGCTTGTATGAGTTGGTAAAACGGCCTAGAAAGGATAAAGAAGAGTGGAGGGGCATGACGTTACATCAAAGCAAAGGGATAATAAAGACGAATGTAGTGAAAGCGTGGACTACTGGCTCTTACCTGCTTTGAAAACCTCCAGGCTCCGGAACTCCAGGAGGTTATTCCCATAATAGAAATTTGTGACATAAATTTTGTCAGACCCAGACTTCGGGTCCTTCATCCATGCTCCTTCATTCCTGCCATAGGTGTTGTGAGTTACTGGCTCTGAGATTGTTGCCAAAGTGTCCTTACACTCCCCTGTGAAAGAGTCAGAGCCATGAGTGAGGATTTCAAAGCAATTTAACATCATCCAGACCTGCGTCAAAGAGTCTGAAAATAATTAGAGGCATTTGTTTTAACCAGCCTGAATCACGGAAAGGATGAGGTTGCCACAAAAGCACAGAATTACAAAGTTTGTATTTTCTTTTCTGGCAATATGTTTGGTAAGCTCCTATAAGCTCTTTCTAAGGTGTTTTTCAGTCACTCTAGCACACCACACACCACACACCACTGGTTCTGACTGAAATATCTCAACATGTTAGCATGCAGACATTAGCACTGAAAGTAACACACTGTATTACATTTAATTAACTAATTACAAAACCTTATTTTTATTTTAAAATTTCAACTTGACAAACATATCGGTCTTCCCATTCCATTCAACATATAAACTCAACTTACCGGGTTTTCTAGAAGTAAATTCCTCCTGCCTTTGCATTGGCTCATCTAACTCTCTGTGTTTCTTCTCTCCCTCTTCCTCCTCCCAACTGATTTTGTATTTTCGTTTGACTTGAGCAGCCTGTCTGGTAGTGGTGGTGGTAGTAGTAGTGGTGGTGGTGGTTGAAGAAGAGGCAGGTACAGGTGTGGTGAAAGGCAGAGAAGTGTGGGGAGTCAAGGGGATCACTCCCTGTGTGGTAGGAGGCAAAGTCGAGCCTGAAAAGAAGGCAGATTCAGTTTCTTCTTCTGGTGTTGTGCTAGCAGCCTGCGTGGAGGTAGCTGTTGTGGAATCTTCTGTGGGGTGTATAGGTGCTGAGGTCAGGGCAGCATAAGTTGTCATGGTCACAGTGGAAGGCGGGCTGGTAGTTGAAGCATCTGTGGCTGGGGTTGGTGCAAGTGTGCTTGAAAGAGCTGCAGTGCTGCCAGGTATGGTTTGCGTTTGGTCTTTCACCTGCAGGGTTGCGGTTCCCATCACAGTGGTTGGGATATTTCTTGTTGTGAAAGCTCGTAATATTTCCGCTGTGGCTGTAGTTTCAGGGGGTTGGGGTGTGTTCGTTGCAGTTTCGGTTGTTTCCTTGTCAGTGACGGCTCGTTCAGCCATCAAAGGGATTGGCAATTTAGTGGTTCCAGCAGTGACTCTTTGACTAGTCAGCGGCGCAGTCTCTGTGCTCCTGTTGTTTTGTGTGGTAGTGGTCGGTCCAAACATGACTGATGTGTCACTCTGTACATCTGATGTGGTTCCATTGGCACTGATTAACTCATCATGAGTTTCTGAGGCAGGCTCGGTTTCTTTCGGTGTTGTTGTTGGGATCGTCTTTTTAGAATCGTGCGATTGACCTCTTGTCTTTGGTCGAACTGATCTTGGTCGAGGGGCTCTGTGTTGTAGAAGATTTTCCTCAATGAAGAGGTTAACTGGGCCATCCCCACTGAATCCATGGTACTCAAACACTACAAAAGGGAAAGGCAAAGATCTGGTCAAATAATCTGAGCGCCAATTATCCAATACCATCAAAATTGTAAAGTAAGCTGTCTCTGAACTAATCCATTGAAGCGCAAACAAACAGTAGAAGCCACAGGATATAAACCCATTTGTAACTGTACATTTTTGCAGTGGCCAGACAGAGCAGCTCACAGATGGCCCTGACAGGCGTCTTATGTAATGTGATTATCCATCCAAACCACTCATCCGGTTTCATGGTATGCAGATTGGATGTATAAGGAAAAGTTGAAGGTATTTTGAAGTCGAAGGAATATCTTTAGCTCAAGTTAGACAGGAATCAAACCTGGGTTGCTGCAGTAAGAGACTCTATCAGGTGAGCTACCAGAGTGAACCCATACTATGAAAGCTGACTGAGGGTTTGCACTTACAGTTCTCTCCAGGCTCCCCGTCATCAGCCACCATCGGATCTGGTTCAGATTTATAAAAAGTCATTCCTCTGATGATCATTCCGTTGGGGCCAGTCTTCGACCCCTGAGAAGCTTCCTTGTTAGCCACGTTTTTGGGAGTCACCTCAGGTTTGACCTCAATGGTCTGAGTAGAACCATCTGTTTGCAGGAAGATTGGATTTTCCCCAATAAACTTCTCCTCATACTTTTCCTGTTAATGGACAGATAACACAAAACCTCTATGAGGCAAATGCATAAACAAGTGTCACTATTTTTTTCTTGATATCTTGTATTTTTCTATTTTATTTTGTTATTTAATGTGTATTTCTTTTTTCTTATCTGTTGTGTTATATCTTGAGCTGCTGTAAGTGAATTTCCCTAGTGTGGGATCAATAAAGTCTATCTTATCTCTTATCTTATTACATATACTAATACTACAATGTTGACAATGCACCTTTTTTGGCAAATAATCGCAATTTACTATTTAGTACTAACAGGAAATTATACAACCAATCTACTGGTGGACATCAAACAAGTGACAATTTTTTTCCCCCAAGGATATATGACTTAATTTCTTTGTTTACTGAGCTTCTGTATACAACAAATAGAGCAAGAAACGAGCAGTCAGACCATCAGTCTAAAAAGATGGACTGTAAAGCAACAGTTTGGCTATATTATTACCAGTTTCTTTGAAGGTATTGGCATTCACAGATCTCAACTATTAAAGTATTAGTTATTATTACTGATGGATTACTGACCCAAGTGTGACCCAAGTTGCAATAAACCTGAATTATGCTTTAATATAGAGGAAACCTTTAGTCAAAAATTGTATTTAATTTTGTTTCATTCTAGTTTCATTTCTCTTTGTTAACCTTGTTTTATGCTTCTTACAAGCGCTCTTGCGAAACATATTAACTTTGTGAATCACTTGCATATGAAGCCCAGGTCCACCCAGCACTGTTGGACGGGCCCTCCAGTTTGTATTAAAGTTGTTGTGGATCAGGGCCCAGTGGTACAGTCACTGGTCTGAGGTCTGCTATTGTCCACTGGGTCTGCCAAACCTTCCGATTACCACGATAACTTTTTTCTTTTTTCATTAATCATGGAGATGATGATTTTATGAAGGACTTTGTGGAAAGAACACATAATTGTTTATTTTGTTTTGAAGCAACACAGAACACCATTAATAATGTTTCACCATTCTGAGCAGCAGCATGTGAATCCAATCACTTCTTTTATGCGTGTTTCTTTCCTAAATTCAGTTTATTCAGTCACTTCACAACTGATTTAAATGTACAATATCGGGATTTGTCATAAAATGTTACAATGTTAATGGATGCACGATAGAATCTTAAACTCTTACCATTAACACGTGTATTTACTCAATATTCACATCACAGTAAGTGATACAAGTTGAATGTTGAATAAAAAAAATTGCGGTGGCACTGTTTACTCAGTATTTACTCTATATTTTTGGTGAAATTATTGGCTTACAAAAGTTATTACTTCACATGGGTAACAGGTACAGTAATTATTTAGTATCTATAAGTTAATAAGCAGTAATAATAGCTTCTTGAATGTTTTTACCCTCTGAAATCAAGGAATACATGTAGTAATAAATATCATATGAAATGTGTATGAACTAGGCAGGTGTACTATAATAGTTACTAGCAACTTGTAATTATTTACAGTTAGGATCCATGTACTTTGCTGGATTAGTATGTGTTATTTAATTATCTGGTAAATACTACGAATTCCTGTATAATTTGTTATCTTACATAATGATGCTAGCTGTAATTAGTGCTTAATTCATCCTCAGCACTCAATCATGTAAAATTGTTTTCTTTTTATGACTTAATAATTAATTTTTGTATCTATATACTTTTGTTTATATATACTAAATTAACTACAACCTGAATTTCATTATACAACCCTGTGTTGTAAAATAACAATTAAGTATCTTATTGTGACAGTTATTCTATAACATACTTGTTACAATTTTATTTGTACGTGGTTTTCAAGTGTTAACTACCTTCAAAAGCATAAATAACGCTGGTACTGCTTGGCAATGAAAGGGAATTACCCTTTTGCATCAATAATTACCCAGTAAATACAACGTACTACACCTACAGTATGTGTTATGTCATGGCACTACAGCCAAATAATTACTTACCTCTGGGTTTCGATACACTGCGGCTCCGCTGACCTCACCGAGTTCCTTCTTGTCCTGATGCCGGTCGGGGGGAGTGGTGGGTGGGCTTTCAGTCACATCTGCTTTGATGGGAGGGCTCTCCTGGGGTTTCACCTCATCAGTGGTGTTGTTCAGAGACACAACCTTCATGCAGTCATGGACATACCGAGATATTAACAGAAATACCGTGCATGTTCCTGTGGAAAATAGGCTGCAATCATCAGCAGTCATAATCACTAACAGGAGGAAGTGGAGCGCCGACTATCTTGAGTCATTAATAGGCAGAGTTTCACTTGTCATCGTAGGAAAAAAACAGGTGTTAGTAATAAGATTGAAGATCACTGCATTCTATTCAAGTATCCCAGTAAGTGGTGGCAGTGAGGCAGCAGGCACAATACCAGGACGCTGAAACAGCTAAATGGAATTCAGCCATCATTAATTTTATTTTCACCTGAGCTTTTCTTACTGTGGCTTGTCAAAATGCCTTCTGTGGGTAGGACTTATGCTCATCCCTTCCTAGAATGCACTTTAAAATACAATGAGCATCTTTGCTCACTAACTGATCTTTTCATGTGTCATACGTGGACACAGCTGAAACTAATAAAATCAATAATGGATACACTTGATTTACGCATTTATTTTATTAACTGCAGCTGTGAAAAGGGTCATTTCGGAAGCACATGGAGCTATTGCCCTGACAGTTTGCACCACAGCTTTCTGACATTGTGTAGGCACAGTATGTTGTATGTGACACTATTATCAAGGGTCATTCGATCAGTGACCCAATTAATGTTTTAGGTCCAATGTTAATTGTTAATAATAATGACATAGAACCCTAAAAAGTGTTGTATGTAAAGATTCTAGTCTTCAAATCCAGTCAGTGCAGGAATATTTTGAACATGTTTTTAATAACACACCCATGGTACGTTCACACAGGGGGTTTCAGTTATTGTGGATAAGTAGACCCTGTCTGGGCACGTAACCCTGCAGTTAGCTTTGGTGCACCTGTTTGGGCGGGACAACTTTATGAATGATGATGTTTATGATTTATTTAAGTAGATGGAGTTTGGTATGACAACTGTTTCACTGTTGAAAGGCAAATAGTTTATTGACTGAACACATCTTCACATTAAATATTTAATACTATAAAGCTTTAAGCCATTTTGTTTCAGATGACAAATTTAGTCTAAAAATACTATTATACATAATTTAATAAACATTTGGTTAATAATCATCCTTTGACAAGTCATTAAAATTCTAAAGTAATGTGTTAATGTACCAATAGAAAAAAAGACTAAAAAGTTTTTTGTGAGCTACATTTTTCTGAAGAAGGGGATCCTCAACCCGATGAACTTCCACATGTGAAAGAGAGTCTGATCACTCCTTCCAGGTTCAGCCTCTAATAAAAGTGAAAACTGGCTCAAAGAGTGTGTTTTGTTGGACCCACTGAACGTAGAAGCCACCAATACAAACACACCTTCTACCACCAGTTCGTGCTTATGTTATTACCAACACACTTGCGCTCATCTTTGCAAAATAAATCAATCAAATTAAATACCTTCTCAATGTGTTCCATGCGATCCAGGAGCTTATTGGTAACAGAGTGCAGCTTCAGTAGGTCCATGCCATAGAAGGAGCCCTCCAGCAGCTCAAGGATGGTGGACAGCTAGAATGATCAAGTGGATTCCGTCAAAAGGGTTTTACCAATTCAAGACATGCCATGCGTAAAATAGGCCTATCCCCAGCCCATCCAAACCCAGAGTTTCTGGTTATGGGGTAAAATGTGGGGCTACGCTTCCCTGAATTTGATAAAAACGTGATATTCATACTCCCAGTGATCCAGGACTCTCTAGAAATCAACAGGCGAGCAAGACAGCAGCCGTTCGCCTCTTGGCTCAGGCGCATGGGGGCTATTGGAGGCTCTAGTACGCACGGAAAACGGACAGGATGACACTTCACCTTGACATTCTCTTTTCCAGCTTCCCTAAGTTTTTTCAGCCTGAACTCTCCCTCGCAGGGGTTGACTGCTGACGGAGGAGCGATGCAGGCGCACTTGCACTCTGGTCCAGATGTGATGGTCTCCACAGTGTAGAAGTCCTGCACAGCGGCGCTCCCTTCTTCTATCCGCCGGCAGGCGCTCCTGCTCAGGGGTCTGACAACACATTTACACCGACAGTCAGAGCCTTCCGAGAGGGCTTTCACTTTGTCATAATCACCCAGCAGCTACAAAGAGAAGAGGACGGATGTATTTTGCACCACGCTCAATCAAAAACGTTTGAATTTTGACGCAGGAAATGGTAAAATGTCCATAAAACAATAAAGGGATATTTCCTCCTACCTTAGAGAGGATGCTCTCCTGCCCATCTATCTCCTCCTGCAGCCTGTCACTTTCCTCTGTATTGCTCTCAAGTTGTGACCTAGGATCTTCTCCCCAGGTCTTTGGCGCTGCAGAGCCCCGTGGAAAATACGCACAGCACACTGCGATGACAATACATAACTTATACATGTTGTGAGGCTCACAGAGCGCCGAAAAGAGAAATAATGTTGCAAGTATGCTGGCAGGCACAGCCTGTCACCAGTTAGTTAAGCTGCCAAGAAAATATCATAGCCTGCTTCTGGCTCCAAAAAACTAGTGAGGGGTATCCAGAAAAGTCATCAGAGAGCGAGATTAAGCTTTATAGCGCGATGTGATGTTTTTCATTGTCAGTGAAGGCGGGCTGGTTTTGTGCAGAGAAAGCGTGCAGTCGGTGAGAGAGCAGCCGGCATCTGCAGCTGAAGAGCGCGCACAGGAGGCGGATCTCTGCGCACACTGGCGAGGAGGAGTTGACCTGCTTCAGACGCTTTCTCAAACATGATGTGCAGCACATTAATATTAGTCAGGAGTAAAATATTCGCTCAGAGCTTCAGTCTAATGTTGGATTTTCTTTGAGATTCGACGTCCAATGGAAGGTCCTAAAGCTCATTAGGAGGTTAAATAGAAAGTAGCAGCCTGATGCATGTGGATTTGGTTTGAGTCAGTCCCGCTGTGGTTTTGCTGCCCTCTAGCTGCAGCAGTGTTTAGTCACATGACAACAAATACAGCATTGGAATTAACTTGTTTATTTTTACTTTAAGGCACATTCAATTTATGCACTTATCTTCATAAAACTTCTTCCTGTAATGTGATATGTGAATATGTGTATAGAAAATGGAGCATGGGAAGTTCAGTTAAGGCACGTGGTGCCGTGTAGGTTTGAGAGTTGTGACATTTGTCATAAAAACCATAAACCCTGTGTTGAGATACCAAAAAGAATACCACTGCCCAGTAGCTCTTTGTGATCATTATCCATAGGAGAACAATCAAGTCTTACATTAAATAACTTTTGAAATTTACACAAATTGCAGCAGTTACCATCAACATTGCACATTATACAGTAAAATCCACAAACCCCGTTCAATCGCTTTTCATTTTGCAAGTTGTCTAAAATCAAATTTGATTAAAAGTACTAAAACAAAAAGCACCACAGCCTTTTGTCAAACATTTTTTTCATTATGAATTTTGACATACATCTTTACAAATATCCCATTGTATAATCTTAATCTTAAGTGTCTTATTTCTACTTGATGTCTTCATCTTAAGTGACCTTCAATATATGGTATATGTAAGAAACCTCTGGGTCTTTGAAGGCCCAGTGTGTAATATTGAGGAGAATCTATTAGCAGGAATGGAATATAATATTTATAGAATGAGCCAATCTGAGCTACAGATGCCAGGGGTCATCTTCCATGCAGGCCGCATTGTTTAACCACCATGTTTCTACAGTAACCCAGAACGGACAAACCAAACACTGGCTCTAGATATGCTTTTTTTGGGGGGGAGTTTCACGGCCACCGTAGTTTCACCTACACACTTCACAGGGTGTTTGCATTCCCAGGTGGTCATATACAGACATGAGAAGTGGTCCGTTAGTTGAGATCTGCAACTTCACCGCCAAATGCCACTAAATCCTACACACTGGTCCTTTAATGCTGCTAGTAGCCTCAGAATGACACCCAGGGAGAAAGCTGACAGATAGACAGAAGTGCTTAGACCAAAAGTTCAAACAACAGTGATTATTCATGTCCCCTAGCATCCTTCATGCTCCATCCTTTCCTCTGCTGCCACTGGCAGGATGAGGTGGGAAATGCGGCTCCAGAGTCCACCGTACTTGTCGAGGTCCATCCTGTCAAAAGATACAGGGTGGCCGTCAGAAAGGAACTTCTTCTGAAGGTGGTCATCCACCATCTCTTCCACAGTACTCAAACGACTCTTGGCAGAAATCTCTTCTTGCTCCTCCAGCAGTACTGTGAATATCAGACAAGTCTTCTTGTAGGCGGCGTTCTCGTGGTCGCAGTAGCGGTAAAAAATGAGGGTAGAGCCTGGAGGTAGCTCCTCAAAGCGGTGAATGACGGCCACGGGTTTGTCTCCTTCGAAAGCTCCCTGTAACTTGCTGTCAATGTCCAGTTTGACCTGGTCGCTGTCCTGGCTGGCTTTGCCGGCTCCATCGATGTGGAGGACGGAGGCGTTGAGGGCAGAAGAGAAGGCGGAGGCCAGGCCCTGAGCCAGGCAGCGCAATGTCCGCTGGGCTCCGACGCCTGCAGTCAGGATCAGACTGACGGGCTCTGTGGGCTGGGCCGTCTGGAGGTGCCTCAGCAGGTGGATCCTGCTCCTTTTCCATAGCTCAGCACGCTGGTTAGGGAACTGAGTATTTAATTTATCCATCTGCCTGAGGAAGATGTCGATTTTCCGCACATCCTTTTTCTCGGGTGGAGCCTCGGGTTGGAGGAGATGCTGCACCAGGATGGCAACAACGACCACTATAACCACTGCTATCAGGTATCTTGCACATCCTACGGAGAGAAGGCACATGTGTTGTCTCAACCAGTACTCTATACGCAATTCACAAATTATTTATAACTAACTGTGTCTCAAGTATTACACCACATACGTTGTTAAAGAACTTGAAACTAGAACATTTTCATAATGATCACTGACAGTAAGGTCTTTGTTGTCATTTGATTTAAAAGGGTTCCTTCAATAATTTGCTTTGCTAGTGATCACCGTGACACTAAAAAGATAAAATGTGAAGAAAAAGTAACAAGATTACCTCCAGTAATCCCAGTCACCACTGGATCTGCATGTTCAGTAGACTCCTGAGTAGTAGGGCCAATGGTGTGTATATCCAGGTCGCTTCCACCATCTGATCAATGTGAGAAAAAAATGATAGTTAGAACAGACTAAACTAAACAGACACCCCAACCACAGGAAGTCATTTGTGCAGATACATGTTCATGCTCCCTCACTGACTTCCCACCAATGAACAAACTATGAAAATCCAGAAGCTCAGCACCCCACAGCGGGGGCTAAAGGAAAAGGAAATTCTGCAATCACTGAAATTTCAGACTCACCCTTTGTGGTGTTAGTGCCTGGGGTTTCTGTCTTAAGTCTATCGTTGGGTCCATCTACTTTGTCCTTCTTTCTGTCACGCAGGGTTGGTGGAGTAGGTGCTTCTGGTGCTTTTTTCTCCCCAGCGTGATATTCTCCTGATAAAAATATAATAGTTTAACGCCAAGAAAAAGTGTCACTACAGTTACATTTTAAGTGGGGTTTAATAAAGGTCCAGAGCAAAAACTGTTTTTAATCTCACAATATTAGGATAGGTTCACAATTTTTAAGTCTGTCTTTAAATAATACTCACATGCCCATGTGTACATTGAAACAATTATTAGTTGCTGTAATTTACTTAAAACTGAGACAAATGACACTTGTTAGAGGTCTGTAGCATGTTTTTCCAAAGTGAGTGAAATATAACTGACCTGGCTCAAAAAGTGTGAACATAATGAATAATAATGTCTGAATGTCAAAACACTTTGATAGAAACACTCACTGGAAATCTCTTCACCTATCACGGTCCGCTGTTTATTTCTCGCCGTTTCTCTGTTGTAATCACCATGACTTGCGTCATCAGTGGGAGGTGGCGTGCTGTCGTTCTCCTCAGTCCGTGTGCTGGCTTTATCTGGAGAAGAGGATCCTTCTGTAAGTGGCGTATTACAAAATAGATAACAAGATAGATAACAAACTACTGTAGGGAGCACAGCAAAATGTAACAACTCGGGGAAAGTGCAGAGACAAGACATCCTGTGTCACATTTATCTACAAGAACACACTACATTTATACAGTATATTCATGGTTTATGGAATATTTAATAGAAAGGAATCACTGTTATTAATCTATTCACTCACTTTTAACCTCAGCCAGCTCCACGTCTTCACCGTTGTTGCTTTCAGTCGCTCTGTTTGTGGATGAAGCTGAGTCTTGTTAGGTGACACAGAGAGCATGTTTGATTAATGCTGTAGATGCACACACACATTTGGTAAAGATACACTGAATGGATAACTATTGACCTTGCTTGAATATTTTACCTCCTGAGAGTTGCTGCTTTACAATCGGAGTAATATCAGTCTCTTTCCGTTTTTTCTCATCACTTGCTGAGACATGATCCATATTTGCTGACTGTGTTTGTTTTTCCATGACACCTGATAAAAAAAGTAAATGAAAGATGAATACCACTGCTGTAAATGTTTGAAAATATACAAGTCTCCCCCAGTGTATACAATTATGTAATGGACCTGGCTCATAAAGAAGCGGGAAAATAATGAATAATGTCTGAATCACTTGTTATAACACTTTGATAGGAACACTCACTGGAAATCTCTTTACCTATCATGGAAGGCTGCCTATTTGTCACTGTTTCTCTGTTGTAATCACCATGATGTCCGTCATTAGTCTGAGGTGAGGTGCTGTTGTCCTCCTCAGTGCTGGCCTCATCTGGAGAAGAGGATCCTTCTGTAAGAGGTACCACCCTCTCTTCAGCTAAATCCCCATTTGCAGTAAACACAGAAATTAAGTGTAATCTAAGTTATAGTTTGACTGAAAGACTAAGATTTAATTTTCAATTTCTAAGGAATATATTTAATTTTTTTTATTTCTATTCCAGATCTGGAATCAAAACCATTAGCTTTTTCTTCTACATACATTTCTTTAACATGTTCATTTATAATACATTAATACAAAATAAATAACCAGACTAACAAACAGTACAGCAAAATGTAACAACTTTTTGGTGTGTGAGGGACAAAACATCCTGTGTCACATTTACCTACAACAACACACTACATATATACAGTGGATTCATGGTTTAATGTTTGTCTATGAGAAACTATTTGATGGAAATGAATCACTGATATTATTCTATCTAGTTACTCTTACCCTCAGCCAGCTCCACGTCTTCATCATTGTCACTTTTAGTCTCTCTGTTTGTGGATGCAGATGATGAAGCTGAATCTTGTTAGGTGACACAGAGAGCATGTTTAATTAGTGCTGCAGATGCACACACACATTTGGTGGATTTCTATTGACCTTGTTGAATATTTTACCTTCTGAGTGTTGCTGCTTTACATCCTGATCACTATCAGTATTTTCCTGTTTGCTCTCATCACTTGCTGAGACATGATCCATATTTGTTGATTCTGTTTCTTCTTCCTTGGCCCCTGATAAAAAGGTAAATACTGACATATTAGATACATTTAAACCACTGCTGTAAATGCAAAGTAAATATACTAGTCTTATATAACTAATATCTGATCTTTAAAGATGCTTCAGTACCTGCTGTATGCTGGTCATGGGGGTTATGCTCTGTCATGTCTTTGAATGGGGGCACTTTACTCAAGATGGTTCATTGGATGGTTCAAAGCTGCAGGAAGAAAATGGTATATACCATTTGTTTTTATACCAACACAGGAGCACATTTTTGTTTTCTTTATTGCAGAATACAAGTGTACCAAGCACTCTACCTTCCGATTACAGTACAGTTTAAGACTGAGAATCAGTCACAAACAAACAATCAAGATGGAAATGATCAAGTACAAGTAAAAAAAATGATCTTGGGGTAATCAAAGAAATGTTGTAAAACCGGTTACCAGTAGGTAGGCTGAAAGGCAGTCTTTTATTAATCTTTGAATCAGTCTTAACTCCCCACGTTTTGAATTAATAATGATTTGACACAGATCAAATGAGAGGGTTTTGATTAGTGAAACTGTTTCGATGTTTCCCGTATTTGGGGGTAAACGAGCAGACCGTGTAAGATGCAAGCTTAGTTAGCAAACGTTATATCACCTTAACATTAGTAGTTAGTAGAACAGCTAGTAAAACCTGCTTACCGGGAACGAAGCTAATGGCACCCACCATACACAAACTGTCCGTTAGCTACCCAGCTAACTAACGTTAGCACATTAACAGCAACAACAACAGACGAGTTAGCTAGGCTAGCCGGCTGAGAGGTGCTACTTTAGCCAACAGTTAGCAAAACAACAACGGTACATGGCTTTAGTCTGTACGAACTGCCGTCGTGTAACTTAATTTACCTATATTTAAGAGGTTACTAATCACTAATCCTTACCAAGTGTACCGTGATCACGTCGCCGTGGAGTTTGACCAACATAATGTTCCTTATCTCTGTGACGTTACTTAGCGTCTGCCCAACTGACGGTTCGCGGAACGCTGGGCGGAACGTTGGGCACTGTCCGTGTTTCCTAGGTAACTGAATGTGGCGGAACTTATTTCCGGTCATCAACGGCGTCCCGTCACGAAATGTTTCCCCTAACAATGAAGCAAGGAAGTCTCGTCTGTTCGTGAACACGATGTGTCGTCGTATTGTTTAATTTGTATTTTTGGCGTGGCGCGCGTTGTAGCTAATCAGAAATGGATTCCCGGGAGTCTGACAATATGGCGGCTCGCCCCTTGAGACGGTCGACACGACAGTCGTCAGGTAAAGGTAAGCAAAGGGACTGTTGACGATTAGCTAGCTTAGCCTTCGAAGCTAGCTGACCTCAGCTTACTCAAAGTTTAACAACACAATCTCTTACATTTCTGATTAACAGTCCGACGTTGGCTGACTTTATCGGTGTAGGCTGAGCCAGTGAGCTTTACGTTAACGTTAACTAGCTTCTCTACACTCGCTCGCTGTAACGTTTCTTGTTTCTTTCTGCTTCTTCCTTAGTGTTGAGTTTCGAGCCGACTCCCAGGGGTCCCTTAAAGAGGACCAGAAGAGGGTTAGATAAAAAAGCTCCTCTTTCAGTTGTCAATGGTTCCAGAGATGAGGAGACTGGTTCAGAGGATGAAGGTGGGATGCTCCAGTTAACAGTCAACCCTCGGTCTGATCTTTTAAAGGTGGTGTAAAAATGGTGAAAAGAATTTAATTTCCCCCTTAACAGAGTCCCCCAGCAAGAAGAGTCGACCGGAGACCGGAGGAGACGTTGGCGGCGGGGGTGATGAGAATAATGAGATGGATGTCCAAGAACCAGCTGAAGATCTGGTGAAAACGGAACACCAAGAAATGGATATTATTAAGCAGGACTCCTCTCATGGCACTCATCAACCAAACATATGCCACGGTTAGAGCTGCAACTTCTGACTGGCTTCATAATCTATTCATGTGCACACATTTTCCTCATATGATCAGCTAATCAATTAATTGTTTTAAGTACTAGCCAGAGTGACTTTATTGAATTAATTAGCTATAGTCTTTTTAATTCAGATCTCAGTTAGGGCTCACCACCTGTTGATTATATTTGGGAGAAAATGTCAAGTGTGTGTGTGTGTGTGTGTGTGTGTGTTTTAGAATGCATGCAGCTATCAAATGACAAACGCATCGTATTTGTAGGTGTACGCAGCACCTATTTCATAAAGGTTTTCCCTCTGTATAAATCAGATGCCCTTGGAGATGTGAATTTATCCCCTCGTGTTGTGCTCAGTGAATGCTGGCGATCCTGTCATACTATGAATGAACCTGTGAGAGGTATGAAAAACACAAGTTCATTCTGCATATTACATTAAGAGAGGATAATTCAGTCGTCCTAATCTTACCTGTTTTGTTTTCAGTAACACCGTCAACGACAGGATCTGTTACCTCCACCAAGTCTGTCGCACAAATCAGATCACCAGCAACGAGACATGATGTGCACGTTCCTAAGGTCACCAGCATGGACGAGTACAAGAGGACGATGGAGGCCAAAGCCAAGAGCTCTGGTAATGTAGACATTTCTATTTAGCCAGAGTTTAGTCAACAAAATTGAATTGAGCACTTGTTCAATGCATTTACGCCTCTGAAAAATGGAATCAATCAATGTAGAAAAATTCTGCTTCATATTTAGGTGTACCGACTGTTAACCACCGTGTCCCAGGCGTGTATCCAGCCTCAGAGAAATCCTACACAACACGACAACGTGTGAATAACATTCCAACACAAAAAGAAACTGTTCCACGCAAAAAACAAGGTATTGCAGCTTCAGCTGAATATTACAGTGCTTAGCAACATGTTAAGTAGACATTTTTAACATTGACTTAATGAAATTTTTTTCTTTTAAAAGTGATAAAGAAAACTGCTGATATCAAGAAAAGCTCAGGACGTTCCTCTAGAGGTAAGCCACAGTTATTTTATTACATCATCATCTCACCCAAAGATACTAGTTCTGCATTATTTACTGTGCTACTGTTGATATGTTGTCTTGTGTCCTGTTAGGATACATGTGGTGTTTCTGGCGTTTGGTTCTCCTGCTGCTGCTCAGTTCGTCTGCTGTCTTGCTGGCGTACAAGATCATTCCTGTACTCCAGAGGGCTGCAGATGGCAGAGAGCATCCATCCAGAGCTGTGAAGCCAGAAAAGTTTGCAGAGTACCTGTCTCTTCTTGAGGCTCAGTTCCCCAGTCAGCGGCCTGACTTGTGGAAGAGGAGCAAGATCCACCTGGAGAAGCACCTCAATACATCCCATCCCACAGAGCCAGTCAGTCTGATCTTCACTGCTGGCTTAAGTGCAGAGCAGACGCTGCGCTGCCTGGCTCAGGGGCTGGCATCATCCTACTCGTCTGCCCTCAACGCCTCCGTCCTCCACATCGATGGAGCCAGCAAAGCCAGCCAGGACAGCGATGAGGTGAAGCTGGACATTGACAGCCAGTTGCAAGCTGCCTTTGAAGGAGACAAACCCGTGGCCGTCATTCACCGCTTTGAGGAGCTGCCTCCGGGCTCTACCCTCATTTTTTATCGCTACTGCGACCACGAGAACGCAGCATACAAGCGCGTGTTCTTGTTGTTTACTGTGCTCCTGCCTCAAGAGGAGATCAGGCTTGACCAGAGTCTGAAGGAGGTGGAGGAGAAGGTGCACGACTGTGTCAGCAAAAGGCTGGTGGCCTCCAGCAACCCAGCCGCTTACAATAAGATGGACGTTGACAAGTTCAGTGGACTGTGGAGCCGCATTTCCCATCTTACTTTGCCTGTTGTGGCTGAGACGAAGGTAGAGCAGAATGGATGCTGATTAGCTCAGCTGCCATCAAAGAGGAAGTCAGGATGCTACTTTGGACCAGCCTGATCCTTCTTGACACTGTGCAGGGGCTATAAAACAGAAGTAAAATGTGTGTTATATTTCACGTATAGACTTGAGTTAAAATGTTTGAAGGGTGTATTAAGCTCTCTCTGTCAGAGCAACTGTGTTCAAGCTGTAAGTTCAATGTTAATGGTTCAGTTTAACTGCTCACAAGATGTCCAGCACTGAGTTTTTACATTTTGTGTAAAGGTTTTGCATTAGGATGTAACATGCTTGTTTCACCATCGTTCCACTTCCAAAGTACGGTATGAAATGCATATTCAACATACAGTATGCAACATACCGTTTAACTGATTGGTTTTCTCCTAGTTCTGTATCATAAATCTCAATCGGCAGCACTTTGTTCAACAGCTTTTTTTCATTTTCTGTTTAAGTCTTTGTTTTAGGTGTGAAAGATATATTTCTTGTTCTGTATCAAATCTCCCAGACAACTGATGGCTTTATTTTATATTTCTGTTCGATGTCCCCATGGAGATGTGTGTCCCTTCTTTTAAATCTCTTGTGTACATGATTGGTTTGATTTTTGCACTAGAAATGTTTGATTTTGCTTTAACTATCCATTTTATCAAAAGTACTGGCTTTTATTAAGATAAATATTTTATATTCTTTGTTTTTTTTTCTGAATGTGTATATTTGTGATATGGTGTCTTTTTCCCAGACTGAAGTATTTTTTGATAGCTGTGTATATATATTGGATATAAAAAGGTTAGTTCTTTATACTTATGGTCAAGAAACCACTGAAATGTACTTAAATTGTTTTCAACCTAGAAACATACAGCATCTCACTCAGTGATTTGAATTTCTAAAAATATTTTGACTAAATATTAGTCATTAAGTCACAAAATGTGCCTTACACTCATATAGAGAAGATTAGACTGTATTTGGAAAAAGTACCAAAACACTCGCGTACTGTATCTTGGCAACATCACAACCCAAACAAGGTTTTGCGTATGTAGATTTGTACAAATTTTTAATTTCAACATAAAGGAAAGTGTTCTCTCCTGTGATACAGCTCATTTTACCATTCATGAATTTAGTTTTGCTCGTAAGAATATGTGTACATTTTCAATAAAGATTATTTTGATAACTGGAGTTAATCATCAAGCCCACAGTTATGCTTCCTCTGTTTATGCTCAGTTTCTTCAACAGTGGTAGAGAAGAGTTTCCCTCTAGTGATGTTTGACTTTATAACCTCCTTTTATTGATAAGTAATCTTATGGTGACAGCTTAAGTGTACAGTATCCAGGCTTGAAACCAGGAAGTTGTGTATAAATATACAACAAGGCAGGAGTTCAATCATTTGCTAAGCAGTTAAGATGTAGGACTCTGTACCAATTAACTTTTTATGGATTAAACTGACCAAGTAGCAGAGTTGTTGTCTATAACATGACAGAGGAACATTTACAGACACTATACTGTGTCTAACTTTTCTAAATCTATGTGGTGCTCAACTTTAAAATAGTTCCTGTGCTTTTGTTGACAAGGAAGAATTAATGTGAAGATGCTGCTACATTGTGAGTGTTATGCTACAGAAAGCAAGGTAATTACAGCAAGGTCAATAATTTGCTACTGATTAATGCCTCCTTATGGCACAGGTCGTATTATCTACCTGAACACGGACAAAGGGTTGGTTCCTTCAACAGAATCATAAAAATGAACTACCTTTTACGAATCACACCATGCTGTAAAAAGGAATATTTGTTTTCACAGTAAACCACTTTGATTTGCACACTTAACATTAACAAACCAGTTTCTGTCTTTTACAGGGGTTTGGCTTGAAAGACATTTCTCTTTTTGAACTCAAAAAAATATAGCACGAAAATGTAATCAGTTTTATTCTATCGCAAGTAGTTATTGTAAGTGTTAATTTAGAGGTCATATAAGGTGAGCTCTTGTGTTAAAAGCTTGGAAGTTCGGTTTCAGTGATTTGAGTGATCTGCAACACATCAAATCCAATTTGTCCACTTATTCATCATATTGGAGTTGTTTTAGTCTCCTAATCCAGAACAAAAAGGGAGTAAAATAAAATTTAAAATAGGGTTTCGTTGTGGGAAGTTAAAGGAATGTATATATTTGAACAGCAACAATAAAAAGTTAATCGTGCACTTATGTAAACAGTAGTTAACAGGGAAGTTCACACAGGAATAGCAAACATTAATAAATGACAGACATAGACAGCGGAATTGCCGATCAAAGTACCAAAAAGGATTATTATCTTGCTGCATCTTGTGGACAAATACTGGGGGTAAATTGTTTTTAATTGTTTTAATGATGTGGGAATGTGTGTATTCATAACTTTGTAATTGAAATTTTGCACAACTGTGAATTTAGTTACTGTTTTTAATTTATTGTATGTTCCATCTACCTGCCCTGGGACTACGGGTGGAAAATAGCAACTTGCTAAAAACCCGGTGCAATGCATCTCTCCTTGTTATATACTGGGTTAATGTTTTATTGTGCACTGTCCCTGTTCAAATAAAATAAATACTAATATAATATTTACTCAAGTAAGAGTGAAAAAGTACAGGCTCTGAAATGTACTAAAAGTGGAAAAGTACTCTCTTGGTTTCTCTAAAGGACCGGGTCGAGATTCCCTGTCTTTTCTGTTTTCTCTTGTAATTATTATTAAAAATAAGAATTATTTAAAAAATAATAATGATAATCGATAATTCCCCTTAAATGCAATAAAACTAAAATAAAGATCCTGTTTTGGAAATGTAAGGTGTATAAAGTACAGATATTTGTGTAAACATGTCATGTAGGGGGTAAGAGTAAAAGTTGTCAGAAAAATAAATAAAAGTAAAGTTTAGATAAAAAAAACTACTGTACTGTAACAAAGTATTTGCACTTAGTTACTTTCCACCTCTGAAGACAACTTAAAACGTTATGTCTTTTCAAAATTGAATTATTATCATTTCATGTTGATCACTATGACACGTTGTTTTTATCCTTATAGTGAGCGTTTTCCATGATCTCAGATATTCCTGGCTCAAGCAACAACAGGCTGAGTCAGCAGACTGACACATACTTTATGATCCATTTATGTATGGTAGTTTGATCTGACTGACTTACTTTTGCCCTCAAACACAAAGGGAAAAGTATGTCACGACTGAGTGCTTGAGTGGTATCCTTTTTATGCCATCTACGTTACAGTATCTCAGTAAAGCATGGCTTGTGTTTCATAAGAAGCACATACCACACAGTTACTCACAGACAGCATGATCACACCACTAAAATATTCCCCCACTGATCCCTGGTTGTGCCTGGCACGAGGAGATACATAAATATAGCAAGGTGTTATATTAGCCCTTCATAGGGCACTCATTGAAATACTTGGAAATTAAAAATTTTAACCCCGGAGTGTTACCCCTGGATATAAGAAGACATTTTTTATTTTTTGTTCTTTTAAAAGAGTCTCAGTTTTAAGCTGCAAATCAAAGTCAATGATGGCACAACAACAGTCTGTGGCACACCAGGCCTCCTCTTCCCATAGAAGGACTGAGCAGACAGTTGCTGCAAAAGAAATATGCCACATCAGTATACTTTGAAAATATGTATAGGCCACAAGCAAATCAAGAACATCATCACTGGAACATTACCCGGGTCTGTTTAGTCTAACGTGTACTGGTATGACATGTAATAAATTAGATAGTCCAGCATTTTCACACTAAATGGCTTTATTCTTATTTTGAAGCTGAAATCAGCAGTGCAATATTTACAGCTCATGCGGCACCAACCAGGGAAACACATTGTCAAAATACATTTTAAAGCCTTCTACAAGAGCCACTATATGTAATCAGTAACCATTAAAATGCATTACAACATTAATTAAATATACAAAACATAAGAATAACAGCTGTGAATCTTAGAGAGTGTTGTATGTTGTACAGATTGTGAAGCTCCCTGAGGAAAATTGTGATTTATGATACTGGATAATATAAATAAAAATGATGTGACTTGACTTCATGCACAAGTCTGCTTTGCTAAAAATATCCCAGCAATGACAGTTACAGTGAAAGACAAGGTTCCCATGATGAGGATCACTGAGACAGCAGTAACAATCACTTCGGCTGCACTGAGCTTGTTCTGAAATACAGAGGTGTAGTGGCACAAAAACACATTTTTATTGTAATGCATTATTGGTGGTTAGTTTATAGTTGTCAAGATAATACAAAGTGTTATCAATACATAATTGTCAAATCATTTGGACAGGCTCTCACCTTTTTTCCTTGTTCTCTCCATTTTGAACTCCCTGTAACAGAAAATAGACCCATATAATTTTGCTCAGCATTAGGATTCCGAACTGTATTTCATGCACAGTATTATATTCAAATTGTGTTATACCACAAGTAATTCACCTGTTTTGTTTCTCCCCAGTATCTCATTTCTATGAATACTGACTACAAAGGTCCAAATTAAAAACAGGCAAATCCACACTGTGAAAGCGGTCATCACTTTCAGAAGCCAAAAGTCTTTCCTGTTATTTCGGCAGTCATCAATCTCCAAAACAGCAACAAAGAGTGCAGCAACTGTGTGTAAAACAGATTTGGGAATTAAATCAGAGCAATAAACAAAAGCAATGGCAACTATCGGAAGAGATCCGAGCTCTGACATTGGTTTTCTATGTCATTTTAAAGAAATGGTTCAACATTTTGGGAAATCTGCTTATTCAAATTCTTGTTGAAAGTTAGTTGAGATGATCTAGGTTATACTATCTCATTTGTCTGGTAAAAATGCAGCTATAGCCAGCGGCTAGTAAGCTTTGCATTGGCTTAAAGACAGTGGGAATCAACTAAGCTCTGTCCAAAGATCCCACAAATCTCATTCTAGTGTAAAAATGTAGGGCTGCTGTTTTACAGGGAGTTATGTGGCTGAAAATGTATAACATGCTAATAAGCTTGTTTTAGACGTGCTTATTGGCAGATGTTTCTGTTTCTTTCAGAGAGAGCCAGGCTATTTGTTTCTCACATCCAGTCTTTGCGCTAAGCTAAGCTAAGCTAAGCTAACCAGCTGCTGGCTGTAGCCATTTCTTTACTGGACAAGTGTGAGAGTGGTATCAGTCTTCCCATCTAAAGCTCTGATCATTCTCTAGTACGGATACTGACAGCGTCATTTAGGGGTATGTGTAAGCAGACACACTGTGACCCTCTGACAGTAAGAAGAAACACTTCTTTATTGTATTTTTCTGAGCAACATGAAAAAGTTGGAAATAGATTTTGGCTTGATGAGAGTAGGATTGGGAATGCAGTACAAACATACGCACAATAGTATCTAGTTTGCTTTTCTAGGGCATGCTGGTGTACTTGTAGCGCAGTCTGTGCAGTCCCAAAATTTGGGCAGACTTGGGCAGATAGCAAAATTTATGGCACGTGGACCCACGTGGCAACTCAAACTATGAATTGGCCTTTCAGAGGGAACAAAGGTATTGCCCAAAATGTCAAACTATTGCTTAAAACACATTAAACAAGTCTTCTCACAGAGCCAAATGAATGCAGTAAAATGTACTACTGTAGAGATTAAAATCAGGCAAATCTTACTTGTAAAAACCATGTGGATGACAGAACACACTTTGGCAGCAAGGTCACAGATGTCCTTTCTTGAACCGAACAAAAAAATAAATACACAAGACATCTGAGTACAAAGTGTTGGTGTAAGGGTAAAATCAATATTCAGTGAGAAGAAAAGGAGTTGAACTTACAGTTCATGACTGGGTCCAATAGGCAGAGAGACGATTACCAGATCCATGAAATTAATCACTATTACCACACACATGAGAGCAATGAGAGTGACCTAAACGTACAATTGCAGACATATACGTGCATTAAAAATAATTTCACCTCAGCACAATTCAGAAATGTGGACATAGATATAGAGAAACCACTTATTACTACTCACTGTACAGGAATCATTCGCACAAAACAAAATCGGGGCCGATATTTCAACTGCCATAGAAAGCAGACTGCACAATATGTTTGACACCTACAACAGAAATACAATGCACATTCAGTTATCTTAATGAATCTGAATCATTAATATACATTTTGTGTTTGTTTTCAAAGGCACACATACACAAGCACAGGATACTAACTGCACCTACAAAGGCTATTGGCTTTTTATGTTGAAAAACATAAACTTACATTGAAAACAGAAAAAATATATATGAACTTGTGCAAACAATGAACATAAAATGCAAAGGACTATCATTAGTTAGATGTAAGCTACTGTTAACATTTTATTTCTTCCTCTCTATAGCCAGTAGTTTTTATCATTAGTGGCGGGGTCTGCTATTAAAGATTAAACTTATCTACCTACGCACGAGGGATTCACAGAAAATGACACAAGAAACAGTTACTATGACAACGCACGCCCCTCACCTCATGCCTTACCTTAATTAGACCACGAGAAAAGAGGCTGTTGGTGATTGTGATTGTGATTATATTAGGCAGCTCCTGAAGAGAGATAGTGAATATAGAAATATATACATTTTATTTTTTACAACAGTGTCTCACCATGCTACAGCGTTGGTAGGAATGTTGTGTGAGAGCATTTTCTGGGTGTCTCGAGTTTATGAACAACGTACCATTTTCACTCCAACAAAAAGAATGTCGAGAGACATTTGCACAGTACCTTCTCGCTGAAGATAAATCAAGAGAAACAATGAGGAGTTGATTAAAACAGCAGTTAAAGTTTATATATTCATGCATAGATTTCTGCACAATGTCAAAAAACCTCCATTAAATCCACCTTGGTGTCCATCTTTACCTCTTACCTTACCTTTAGGCCTAATGCGTCGGGTCGTTGAGTGTTCTGTGTTGTACTGGATGAAATGCTTGTAGTAACAGGGGATGAATTGGTCGTGCTTAACTCTGCAGTACTTGGCTTGGCAGTACTTGGCTTCACAGTACTTGGGTTCGCAGTACTTGGCTTCGCAGTACTTGGCTCGGCAGTACTTGGTTGGGTAGTTGGTGGTGGTGTCGTGGTTTGTATAGTGACTTTCCTATCCACTCGTTCCCAGAATTTTGCATAAGACTCAACAAATGTGGCTCTGAAAGGTATGATGACAAAGGTGCTCCACATTGTAATATTAAATACATTTATTTATTCTTGAACTTTATACCTGAAAGTGATGTCTAGCTCTGCTCCCTCCGCTGTCCAGTTGACTCTGATCAAAGTCTTTCCTGCACTGTATCTGTTACTAACAGCTGAGTCCTGAGGAGAGAGACAAAAACGAGACAAAAAAGTCACATCCATACGAAAGCATAGCTTGAATTTGTACTTCAAGTTCTTTTAAATTAGTTAATTCAAGTAGTCTTGGAGTATGAGCATTCAGTTAATCAATTCAATGCATTTACTACCTCTAATAATGATGAAATTGCATGGTTACTTACTGCTGAGAGACTGCACGTCAGTAGCCGAGTATCAGGCTGAAGCGAGATAAATCTTCCAACAGGAGGGCCTTCGTCCACCCTCTGTGTCTCTCGAGCCTCCAACATAAATCCGCTAAACTTATGTCCTGGGTTGCTTTCGAGAGAAACTGTATAATGGCGGAAAATGGTGGAGGGACAGAAATAATAACGTTTCACTTAGTAAATGTCCAAGATTGGAAGAAGTAAAGAAGCTTTAAAGAAAAGGGATCCAATATTATCTGTACCTGTAATAGGCTCTCCATTATTGCCAGGTTTGTAAGTGACCTTATAGGGCGGTTTAGTGTTCTGAGGAAGAATATTCACCCCTGACCTTCGATGCTCAGGTAACAGTGAGTCACACGACTGTGGGAAATCACCGTCTGAATACCCATGCACCTTTGTGATGATGCAAAGGCCAATCAATATCCACACACACATCTGTAAAACAAGTGTGCAATGCCATGAGTGAATAAAACAATGTCTTTCAACCTTCTCCATAAACATGCAGTCCCTGGGGATTAATAACATTGACCTGAAACACTTTAACAGTGATATTCAACGTATGGTACCGTAATTATCTTTGTAGTTTATTGCTGTAGTAAGTATGCTCCGGTACATTGCTTTAATGGTGTTTAAGGGTGTTTAAGGGTGTTCACATCCGCATAGTACGACAACAGCAGAGCTACAGTTCCCACTTTTTTCACCCATATGTATAAAAACGGCCTTAGATTCAAGTCAGCTCTTTAATCTTACAAACATTGTTTGACTGCGAATGCAGTTTGCTGGAATACAGACCCAATACAAGGACTCCCACTCAAAATACAGAATCACTCAAAATATGAAATGTGTCTAAAAAAGGAATAATTTGAACAAAATTAGGCCTAAAATAAACAGCAAACATTTTTTGAGATCTATCTCACTGTTAAAATTTGGTTTATAGATATTTAAGACCTCAGTGTCAAATAACTAAATATACACTGATAGTAAAAACTTTTTTCTCTTACCTTAAAATGAATGTATTTGTATAATGGTATAAATTGTTTTGTTCAAGTCTCTTTAAGAAAAACTGAAGAAATCTTTTCAGAGAGGGATCCTCCTCACAGGACAGTGCAGTGTACTAGAGAGCACTGCAACAACTGGGGTTGAGGAGGAAGTTTGAAAGGTCAATTAAAGTCCACGGCTGAACCCGCCCACACACACACACAGCTTAAATGAAAAACTAAATACAGTTTCCCTTTAGCTCTGATTACACCATTCTCATGATTTGTTGGTTTCCGGTGGTGAAATGTAACTAAGTGCATTTACTCAATAACTGCACTTAACCCTTACAAACTGTTCATATCCAATGCCTTCACAGTATGGTCGGGTCAAATTTGACCCAGTCCAACAAAGTCCTCATTAAAAGGTGTCTATACCATATTTTGAACTACAGATCTATTTAGAATATGTAAATAGCCTATCTTACATTAATATTGATTTGATTCTAATTTGTCTATTTTTAGATTATATTGTTACAGTGCAGCTACAGGTGCAGGTGCAAGTCTCTGTGTCAAGGCACCCTCTGACCTCTGTATGACCGTTGTTTCTTATGTGCACCATATATGACCACTCCTATGCTGTTTTACTATTTCACTGTTTCAAGGTTCCCCCATGGCCCCCCAAGACCAGCAGGGGCCTGCCCCTGCGGGAACCTGGGCGAGCAGTTATTGTGACAATGTCAAGCCCCCCCCCAACTCTGTCACCACTGTCCCATAAAAATACACAGATCCATCTCACTAGATCCGGGTCAAATTTGACTCAGAGCAGCATCAATGTACAAAAATTTGTAGCACCTGTGCAAATGTATAACATTTTAAAATATGTGTATTTTGGGTCACTTTAGGAAAAGTCATCAAATTTCAGGTTAAACGAATGACATGTAGGGTATTTTTACTGCTGTCAAATGTCAAAACGGGTCAATTTTGAGTACAAATTTACAAATTTGAGGTACTATACTACTATACTGTAATTTTCTCTTCAACTTTATATTTCAGAGGGAAATATTGTACTTTTTACTCCACTATAACTATCTGACAGCTTTACAAATTAAGATTTGCACATAAAACATACAAAGAACTCATAAAATAAGAAGTTATAGATTACCCAACAGTGAATTCAAGTACAGCTGAAATTGTTTGTCGACTAGGAACTATTTGTTAATCGTTTAAATAATTTTTCATGCAAAACATTTAAGGGTTCCAGCTACACAAATGTGAGGATTTGCTTTTTAAGGTCTGGACTATTGGTTGAACAGAACAAGCAGCGTGAATGTGTCAGTTTGAGTTCTGGGTAATTGCGACAGCATTTCTCACTGTTTTCAGGATTTTTACAAACTAAACAATCAGTGGATTAATGAAGGAAATAATAATCTATTATGGAAATGATTAGTTGCAGTCTTATACAAAATAGTTTAAAATAAGCTCCACCTCAACCAACTACAACATTACAATCCAGCTTTCACATTATGCATTAATAATAATAATTTAATGAAGTATAACATTTGGCAAAATGTAATGTTATTACAATTTATTTAACTGTTCACAGTATTATATCTGTATGATTATTTTTGGCCATTCTGACATTTTTGTAGTGCTAACATTGTTAATAATGAATCAGATGTAAGCATAATAATGATCGCTCTGATCACTGGGGTTCCTCTGTCCAAAGGGACTTTCCAGATTGAAGTGAGTCAGCAATGGTTGGTGCTATACCACCTGCAGAGGGTGCATGGCGTAAAAAACAGATGAGCAGGACTTAGTTCTACAAAGATTGCATTACATATTATATTACTTTTTGTCATTTCGTATGACTTTTAATTATTTATTTGTTGTTTTTCATGTTTAAATTGATGTCATATGTAAAATGTTTCATCAGTCAGGTTTTACACATTGCTCTTGTCTAGAGATATCTAATGAAAAGGTGTCTTTTATTTCTCTTAAATACTTACAAATTAATGCAGACTGAAAATACAAATTTGCTGTTAATGGTAGAGATGCACTTTTACTCATATGCTCATAATAAGAAAAACAGTTTAAAAAAGTCATTGTAGTTTTTATTTTTAATGTTTGACATTATTTTACATCACATTTTATTTACACTAATCTACCTGTAAACTGTAAATTGAGAATTTCTTGAAAACACTTTTTAACCGTTGTATGCAATGACACATTGTATGAAATGAACAGAATAAATTCATAATTACAGTAAGTGAAAACCACGCCTGACAAAAGTGAGAGTAAGTATAATTTTAAATGAATAATAAATCATTTTGCTCTGTGAACTTATTTGCTACAATGGCTCACCTTCCACTGTGACTAAATTACAAATATTTTTACATGCCCATGAGTGACATGGCCTCCTTTTAAAGTGCCATTAAATAACTGTATGTAACATTTCCAGTCGCATCCCATACATGCTGCATATTATGACAAAGGTTTAACACAGACACACACGCAGCAATACACAGCAAAAGTCAGAATTGAACCAGTATCTATATTTTTGCTGAGATCATATGTATTTTTTCCAACTCAGTAGTGCAGTACTAAATGGATGGAAATTATACACAAACAGCAACTAGTACATTGATCCACGTGAAAAGGCTTGCATTCTCGACTGCTGTTCTTCCGCTGGACTTGTGCGGATGAACATTCGATGCAGCATTGACTTCAAATGACTCCTAAACTTCACACCAACAAATGCATAAAAAACAGGGTTCAAGCAGCAGTGGGAGAAAGCAATGAGCCGGCACACATAGAATGCATAGTCAAGCTGGATACTTGCTTTGCAGGTATGAAACGGTGCAACCACATTGTCAGCCAAGATCTTCAGAAAAATGACCACGTTGTACGGCACCCAGCCGAAGAAGAACACGGCCACGATAGAGAAGACTAACTTAACTGCTCTGTTCTTTGTGTGGGATCTTGATTTTGAGATTCTACACAGTATTTGAATGTAGCAGAAAGCCATCACTGCAAAAGCAACCAAGAAGAAAATATTCTGTTGGGAGATACCAATGTTTTTCCACAGGGTAGCTGGATATTCACAGCCCATGGAGTATTTATCCTTGTGGTGGATTTGGACGAGAGAGCTGTAGAGAAGGGAGGGCATGGCTGCTCCAATGCTGATCATCCACAATAGGACAGACACAAAAACCCCGGTGCTGAGTTTCTGTGTGCTTAGGTCAGAGAGAGGGTGGACCACGGCCAGATACCTGTAGATGGTCATGATGGTCAGGAAGAGGATGCTGCTGTAAAACCCAGTGAAGAAGACGAAAGTCACTATTTTGCAGAGGATCTCTGAAAACAACCATCCCCAGATGTGGTAACTTGCCCAGAATGGAAGACCGGTGGTGAAGACGAGGTCAGAGATGGCCAGGTTTAGGATGAAAATGTTGGTGAGAGACTTGAGGTTTTCATACAAAGCCAGGATTACAAGGACGAGGATGTTTCCCGTGAGGCTCAGTATGATCACAAAAGAGAAGAAAACGGGAACGGCAATGGATCCAAATTTGACCACATTGCCTTTATCACAGACTTCATCGTCATAGTCCTCATCATAAATGGTCTCAGTAGAGTTCTCAGAAGAGTAATTCATTGCTGTTAAACTGGATCCTAGAAAAGGAATACAGGATTAGTATAATGAGTTATCAAATATGATACAGAAAAAATCATACAAGTAAATTATATTTTTTATTTTGTCAGGAAGCCCAATAAGCACTTCAATTTCAAATAATTAGAATTTTGTGGCAATTTGTTGATGTGCCAGGCTTCATATAGTAGGAACTCCTTTTGTAAGAGCATAATAGCACTGTAAAGCAAAAAAATGTCTTACCTCTCGTTTGATGGGACTGATCTGTTGTGACACCTTCTGTCAAATGAGAGCTCAAAAATAAGCAGCTTTAATGATGTTGTGACCAGGTTCTTTTCTGTTCCTACTTCCTATTTCACCACACTGGCTACACCCTTTAGTTGGATCTGTGGTTGTGGCTGTATATTTGGCCCACAGATGTGAATAAGGCCCTGTAGACTTCCTATAGAGCTTTCAGCCACATATCATGGTCCTCATCAGCAGATGGAGTTCGCTCAGTTGTATAACCGAACCACCATTTGTGACCACCTGTTATCACATGACCAGGGTCCCTTACCTTCGGACAACTGACAATTTCCATGACAATGCGGGAAACTTCATCCTCTGATGGAGGCAAGGAGATGGGGTTGAAAAGAGATCTAATAAATGGACCTTGAGTTAAGTTATTTGTTTGGTATAAAGAAACAGACAAACAAACAAACAAACAAACAAACAAACTTAGCTCTACTGGTAGCCTATCCAGCCATTTAGTTTTAATAGGGACTATTTCTTCAACATAAATTTCAGAATCTGTAAAATGAAACCTGCCATCATGGCTGGATACCACGAGAATAGGATAGTACGAGTATATGTGTTGTTGTAATTGTAATCGGACTTTGGAAATTGGACTTTAAAGGGGTACTCCAGCAATTTAGAGTTGCACTTCCTTAATGTTCAGGTACAAAAAAAATGAATGAATGGAGCAGAGGCTGAGGTGTCCGGACGTTTTCGTCCCTAGTATGGATCAAGCTTTGAAAACACTGGCTCTTACATTCCACATTATTGCAACCAAAAGCATCTTTTCATTAGACCCTAAATGAAAAGTGTGGCAAGTATTAAATGTATGTTGTTGATCACATGACACCTCTGTTTACTCTGCTGTGACAACCAAACTATGCAGTTTCAGAGTCCCGCCTACCAACCACGTAGCCATTGCACCGTTGGCTACATGTCGCTGTGTCATTGGACGGCACAGTGTCAATCACGTCACTTTAAACAAGTTCGTATGTAACGTTACACACAAACGAGCTGGGTTGTTATGGACTTGAGCCATATCTGTAAAAGTATGTCAAAGTTATTATTCTTTTCATATTATTTCACCAGCAACTATCTAGAAACACGTTAGATGATGCAAGTTATCGCTTATCGGTGATGTCAAGGTTATTTTCAAAATGTCAAAGGATCACCGTGTCAAAGCTAAATATAACGTCACTGAGACAGCTACAAAAACACACACAAAAAAGAGCTCTTGTCCTTCGTCTTCGATGTTAGAAAGGTAATGTTAGCGCTGTAAGAGCTGATAGTAAGTGTTATAAAACTATTCTTGGTGTTTTTTTCAAACTGTTTAGGCTAAAAACCCCAACAAACGTTAACCTAGTTAGCCGTTAGCCAGTCTAACGTCCGTCAAATCATAAAGTTGTTTTAATAACGTTACTACAGAGTTAATGCCTGTGTATTAACATGTAGGTTGTGGCTGGTCTCACTCCGCCACAGTATAGACACTTTCTTAATGTCATAGGTGTTATTTAGCATACTCATTGTGTGCTTTGTCTAGTTCCTCATAGCTAACCAACAGGAGGAGGTTACAGGACAGCAGTAACACTTACACAATGGCCAGTAATACGTGCAGTACTACCTCAGTGTATGTTATAATAAACACTGTGTCAGAGAGGTATTACTGAACTTAACTGGTCATTTTTGTTGCCAGAACTTGTAGTGATGGCGTTTTATGAACATTAGGGTGGAAATGTTCTCTTTGGTAATGGGGTCCTGTTGCACAGATGGTGTATTGGGTCCACAAGCTTCTTCTGTACATGTCACATACAGACTTATAATCTAATATACTGTTTAATGTGATGAATTTCACTGTGTGGTTTTGTAAAAGCAAGGGAATTGTACATCTTGTAACATGTCTCTTTTCTTTGGGTTCTGCGTTATTATAGTGCATTTTTCTTAAATAATAACAAGTAGTAAGTCATAAATGATAAGAGTGGGTTAGTCTAGTTTTAACCAGTATTCTGCAAGAACCATTAGGTATTTTTCCTTACCTAATGACTCTTTTGTTGCTCCGACAGTGATTTAAGTGTTATGCAATTCCCCTCTTTTGGCCTTGGGATCATTACTCTTCAATTCAAAAACTCTGGAATTTACGTTCCTCTTTATACTACCCTCAGTAAATTATTAATGGACTTTGTTGTTGTAGTTATATAAGAATGTAACTATTTTTATGTGTTTAGGAGTGTGTCATCGAATGTTACCAAAACAGATGCATAGTTTGACTGATACGAATAAAAGGTCACAGTTGAACAGTACCTGGTTGTCAGAACTTCAGAATGTATAAAGTGCCATCATTTTTTAATGGTTTATTCTACAGATTATACAGTATCAGATCACATTGTATATGTGACAGACCATTTTATCACTGACAGACTAACTTTCAGGCCTGTACATTTTCTGCACAGAATTCAGCAATGTACTCATTATGGGAACTCTCATTAATGTGTAGCATCTCTATGTGTATCACGTGTGCCCATGATTGGCCACAAGAGAGTACAGTATGTTGGAGCATTCATGTCAATCTTTTGTTCCTGACTGCTTCTGATTCTCTGATTCAGCAGACTGGATGTGACCCTGTGACCCCTGGTTGCCAGGGAGAGAGCAGTGGGGCCATGGCTGTTGGGGCTACTGTCGGGGAGAGCCAACTCCAGAGGATTATCCGAGATCTGCATGGTACGCCAGCTTTATGTGTGTGCGCCTGTTCGTGTGAGTGTGTGTGAATAGATTGGCTGCAGGCAGTTGTTGGCTGACATAGTGTGACTGAAAAGAGGAGAAAGGAGAGATAGAAAGGTTTTCCATCATGTCATGACCTTAGTTTCAGTGTCAAGTCTGAGTACAGTCTTTACACCTGGAACTACCTGACCTCTCCTGCTCATCAAATCATTTGGGAAAACGTGCATCCGACCACACATTCCCATAGTAAGGGTGTGGTGGAAGCTTCTGTCAGCATGCAACGAGACAGAAAGTGCGTACTGAGGGTGCACCCATCACAGGTGTCCTTCCAGTTTTTGCGATGGATACGAGGCAAGTGGTTGATTTTCAGACTAGCTGTGCTTGGAGAGGGTGGGGTTTAAAAAAAAATGTAGGGTGTATTTGTGTGTGAATGTGTAACCAAAATGCACCAACAAAGATGTGAAAATATTACAGCCATACAGTGTATAGTTTTGTATTTCTTTTTATTTCTTTTTAAGCCATGTGACTTTTGGTAATTTCTAAGAGGATAACAACAGGATGCCTTCCTGCTTCTTTCTCAATGAAGACTAGCTGTTCAAGTTTCTTTTAGCCTAAAACACATTTTTATATTATGTGTGTATCTTTAAGAAGCATGTGTCTTTTGCCTTTTAAATGTGTTTTCCACCGGGAATCTACCATCCACCTGTTTGTATGAATCCAGTTTGAATCATCATCCCATTTTTGAACTATGTGAATTTCAGAGGCTGTTGCAGAGCTTGCAAGGGAGTACAGGGAAAGTGGGGAGCCAATCACTGATGACAGTACCAACCTGCACAAATTCTCCTACAAACTGGAGTACCTGCTACAGGTGTGATATTGCTTATATTGCCACACATGACGCAGTGAATCCAAATTACTCAACGAACATGTGAATAAATAAATAATTAATGATTTCTAAATTAAACACAGGCCTAAGAAAATCCACGTTTAACAGGTTCTTTGTTGCAACTATATCTATATATCTATATATATCTATATATCTTATATCTATATTTCAGTTTGACCAGAAGGAGAAGACCACATTTCTTGGTACAAAGAAGGATTATTGGGATTACTTCAATGACTGTTTGGCTAAGATCAAAGGAGCCAATGATGGGATCCGCTTTGTCAAATCCATCGCTGAGGTGTGAAGAATTTTGTTGTTGTTGTTATTGAGAATGAGAAATAATTTTTTCTTTTTAATTTTATAGAATTAAAACGATATAGATTAGTTAAGTGTAATGCGTATGAAGTCAACATTGGTTAAAAGCTCTGTGTTAAACCATATCTTTTGCTTTGATAGCTGAAAACATCTCTGGGGAAAGGGCGAGCGTTTATCCGTTACTCCCTCGTACATCAGCGATTGGCTGACACCCTGCAGCAGTGCCTGATGAACCAGAGAGTCACCAGGTAAAACTCGTCTTTTATATATGAAGAATGGATGGCTTTTGTTGAAGTGCAAGACAAACTGAAAAATGGAAACTGATGTATATGTCACTTCCTTATTTGCACTTTCAAAAACCGAATGTTGGTGTTACGTTGTGGTGTTTTACTTCATCATTTCCCTTCCTTTTAAATGGGACTAGTGCTTCTGAAGTTTAGTAGTTGAATATGAACAACAGTCTAACTAAGAAGAATTAAGTTGACTTACTTAGTTCAGAATGGGTACGTGTTGTACCAAGCTGAAAAATACACCATTACAAGGAAAAATCTTAATCTTAAAGAGTCAAACAGCTGTCAGTAATAAACTATTTACTCTCTAAGCTATGCAACGTGGCTTGTTTTTGAGAAATTTCTGAATTTACTGGTTTAGATAATTTCTAGTCAAGAGTCAAAATATTAATCAAAACTTCCCTTTTCAACCACTATGATTGTTTCCAATTGTTTTGTTTCCTACTGTAACTTCTCCTTAATTTCTCTTCCCGTAGTGACTGGTACTATGCAAGAAGCCCCTTCCTGAAGCCCCACCTTAGTGTTGACATAATTAGTCACCTGTATGAACTCAATGAGGTCCAGTTTGATGTGGCTTCCAGAGGTCATGATCTTGATGCCTCCTGGCCCACTTTTGCAAGGTAACAAAGCATATCATCAACATAACATGCAGAGCAGATAAAAGCTAAAAGAAACAGGTGTGTCTGAATACAGCTAACATTTCTCTTCTAATCAACAGGAGGACACTGGGAAGTGCAAACTCACCTGGCCACATGTGGAAACCACCCAGTCGCAGTTCCAGTATTAACAGTCTTGCCAGCAACTACTCCCAGGTAACTGACATACATCTCAAATAACATCCTGTCATTTTTCAGAACTGTAGAATATTCATCACTCTACCTCTGTTCCTTCCCTTCTCCTTTGGTTTCCCTCACAACCATCCAGCAAGCACCTGAGTTCCCATCTAGCCCTGACTATGGTCAGGGTCTGCTAAATGACCTAAATGAGTCTCTGCCTGCCTGCACTGAAGATACCAGCACAGTTGAAGACCTTCGCTTGGAGCTGGACCAGTCAGAGCTAAAGCAGCGAGAGCTCCTAGATAAGGTGCAGCAGCTGGGCGAGGAGGCTACTGAGCTCAGGGGGGTAGTTGAGGCGCTCCAGAGGCAGCTGGATGTTTCCCTTGCTGCCCAAGAGCAGCAGCAGGGCTTGCAGGGAAAACTCAAGGCTCTACAGAGAAGCGAGGAGGTTCTGTCTAGAGAGGTGGAAGCACTCAGAAATGGGGAAAAAGCCAGGGAGGCTGAACAACAACTGCTTCAGGAAAAACTGGCAGCTGCTGAGGGAAAGAACATAGAGCTTCTGGCCAAGTTGGACGGGGTTCTGAATGAGAAAGGCCAGCAGGCAGCCAGTTACTTTGAT